GTGGGAGGCAGGTGGTTTGTTTTAAGGAGCCTCTGCCCAGTGCATCCAAACTTTTGGTATCTCTGCGCCATGCTGGAAGAACAAGAGTTGTCTTGGGCCGCACAGTAAATAACATTTCGACACACAATAACAAAAAATCTCTAATGTTTTAAGCAAATTGACAATGTCGAGTGGGGCCGCACTCACAGCCGTCCTGGGCTGCGTGCCGCCCGTGGGCTGCAGGTTGGACACCCCTGCTCCTGGGAAGGTGGAATAAAGGTGTCCCATTGCGAGAGTGGATGGCGTTAGTCTTGAGGTTGAAGATGACCCTCTCTGCTATTGCTGAGCACACTCACCAAATAAGCGATGATCAGAGAGGCAGTAGGAAGTCTGGCAGACCACTGAACGGCCTGGTTTTTGCACACATTCAGGCAGCTGAGAATAGCAACTGAGAGTATGTAGTCTGGGAGGACAGTGAACAGACTCGGGTTCAAATGCCCGATTCTGTCACTAATCAGCTATGTGATTTCACACGTAAAACAAGAAAATCAGTGCCTCTCTCACAGGGTCTCGAGAAGATGGCGTGAGACTGTGTGTGTGGCACTTCATGTAAGACAGAGAAGATTCTCGGTAAATGTTGGCTTTTAAAGTAAATCAGTGATGAGAACTTTAATTTTTATAACTTGAGGATTTTAAAAATTACAATGGGTAATTACAGGAAATTAGAAATTGCAGAGAAGCAAAATTTGAAAGCACTCATATCCTGGGCACACAGATATTCAATATCAATATTTACGTATATTTTCTTCTGCATTTTTCCTGCTATATGCACATGTAGTTATATGTATATGTGTGTATATATATGTGAATGTGTGTATATAGTTATATAAATGTGGCATAAAACATACCTGTATTTAGTTGATTGATTATTTTCCTTAATGATTGATTATAAATATTTTCCCATGTTCTCAAATATTTCTCTATAACAGCTACATAGTGTTCTATTATAGCATATTCAATTGCCCTTTTAACATGAAACTTTAAGACAGTGTCTGAGTTTTTATGTTTTTATAACTGACAGCTCTATAGCCAAATATTTTAACATTTATGTAATGTTTTGCTGTGATTAAAGTCAAGAAGCAACATGGTAGTTTTCAGTGATAATAAAGAAGATGAGATGAAGTGTGAGAAGCATCGGTACTTACGCATCAGCAGATGTGAAGGGTGGGGGATCTACGCATGTACTGGAAGATGGGAGGGAGAAGTACTTGGGCGGGTATTTGCTTTTCATGTTTTTGTTTGGGGGGATTCTACCTGCTGCTAGAGTGAAGCAAAGGTGCCCTCCAGCCTGTTGACTGTCACACGGGATTTGATGCCCGGCTGGGGGCCCGCCTGGCAGAGCTGTGCCCACAAATACCAGAAATCGCAGTGTACAGGCTGAGTGAAGAAATCTCACCCGCGGGCTGAGTGAAGCGCCCATTCTCTACCTGGCTCTTCACCTCCACCCCACTCCCCAGGGTGTCTGTACTGAGTGTACTGTGGTCCGCACCCCACGGCAGTGGTGGGTGCATCAAGTGAGAGACTCGGAGCTGAGTGAGTGAGAAGGTCCAGGCGGAAGCCGTGGCGGCCTGCGGGGCAGGGTTCAGACCGCGTGGCTGCCGCCTGCCTCCTGCTGAGGGTGGACGGCAGGCTCAGGCCTGCCAGAGATTCCCATCTTCCTGAGAAGCTGAAAACCTGGTGCTTTTATTCAAATTAGTCAATTTCCTAATAGTATTGGGGAAATGGAGGAGTAGATTTTTTTAAGTATATATGTGATTTATTTTCTTAGGATGAGTCTCCAGACTGCTGCCTGCAGACCTTGGGGCTTGTCAGCCTTTGTAATTGCATAAGCCAATCAGCCAATCCCGGGAAATAAATCAGAAAGAGAGAGAGAGAGAGAGAGAGTGTGTGTGTGTGTGTGTGTGTGCGCGCGTGTACATCCACACACACACATCCATCCTACTGGTGCATCTTCTCCAGAGAACCAGGATACAGAGAAGAGACGTGTGTGGGGACAAGCAAAGACGCTAGACTTGTCTGAATATATTCTGTTTTGTAGACTTGACTTTGCCGCTGTATAAATAATTTAGAACTCCATAAAGCCAAACTAGACTTTTAAAAAGCAGTCATGAAAAATTGAAAGGGGAGAAATGGAAACAAGTGAGCCTCCCTGGGCCTCAGGCTGATGGGACGGCCGCACGGGCAGAGCTCTCGCCAGTGACTCCGAGGCCCGGGGTTCGGACTCGGCTTTCCCAGTAGAATGCACCTTAAGTATTTTAAAAGACAAGTTGTAAATTATTTTTCTTAATCTCAGTGTTGCTATGGTGGTGGCGTTTGTGCTCTGAAACTGTTCTGAGCGTGTTGTGGGCGAAATCGAGCCAGTGATTGTGGTGGGGTCACCGAGAACCTAGATCGTCAGTGTGAAACCCTGGAAATAATGGCACTGTGAGATCCACGAGGCTCCCAGCTTCAAGTGCTGAGTCTGACCTGAAGTTCCGTGTGAACTCCTGGTGTTTCCATCTGAAAACATAACTTATTTTCTGGCTCTGTCCACTGAAACAGGGGCCGATTCCGTAGCAGCGAACACCCACGGCTTTCCATCTCTTAACACCAGTCCCAGCAAAATGAATCAGCGCTTTTCACCAGAAGTGGCTGCTTCCAGCTGGGGCGCTGTGTGTGTGAGGTGGCTCTGGGACTCCTCACCGTGCCTGCAGCTGTGATCCGCTGAGGACTGCGGGGCACATGGAAGGACTTAGTCAACTTGAAGAGACCCCCACTGAGCAAGGACAGACCGGCAAGACCATCACAGGGATAAAAACTGTCCTGGAGTGAAACAAATCAAAATGTTCAGGGTGATATTTATTTACTTGTCTGTTTGGTTTTTTATAAGCAAAAGTTTACTTAGAAAGTCCCAGAGGTAGAAAGGATCAAGTTCCAGAGGCGAAAAAAGGACCCTTGGAGCTTAGGAGGAAGAAAATGAAAATCACAGTGGTGTTCAAACATCACCGTGTGAGATTAAAACAGAAGACTCACCCTGGCTGGGGAGCTCGGTTGGTTAGAGCGTCATCCCAAAGGGCCAAGGTTGCGGGTCCAGCTCCAGGCAGGATCTCCCAGTGAGTGCATCAGTAAGGGGAACAAGAAATCGATGTCTGTCTGTCTGTCTCTCTCTCTCTTGTCAATAATAAAATAAAAATATCATTAGTCGTCTTTGGAGGATGTTCAGAAACCAAGCCAATGTTTTGAAGATCAAAAATTAAAGGAGGAAAAATCAAGCGTCTATCAAGTTCCTATCTAAATTATAATTTAGGGTAAACATGTAGCTGATGATATGCAATTTCTCTTGATAGAACATCCCAGCTACCAAATTCAGATAACAATTATTTTATCACCAACTTTAACTCTATAGTGCAGCAATAGATCCTCTAGGCAAAGATCACCAACGAATGATGACAATATGGCAGAAGACACTGCGCCTCCGAGGAGAGCAGTGCCACCTGCAGCAGGCAGAAAAACGCCTTCCACTTCGGTGACGTCGCTGTTCTCTCAGAACACGGGAACATGGTACATAACATGCCAAGGCGGGATTTAGTTACAGGTGAAATTGTTCATAAGGCGATCTTAAAACAGGAAGGTCATGCTGGGTTATCCAGGTGTGGATGAGAGACGCAGGAGGCTCATCAGTGCCTGCACATGAGAAAGACTCAACCAGCTGATGCCAACTTTGAAGGTGGAGGGGCCGCAAGCCCAAGGATATGGGCAGGCTTGAGAAGCTAGAAAACGTCCCAAAATGAAGTCTCCCTTAGAGCCTCCAGAGAGAAATGCCGCAGCCGACACCTCAGTGTTAGTCTTCCGAGTGCTGGGTCAGGCGTCTGACACACGGAACTGTAAGGTGGTACTTTGGCGTTGTCTCAAGCCACTGAGATTGTGGTTCTTTGTAATGGCAGCGATAGAAAACGGATACATTCCATTTCCTAGGGTATGTTCTTTCCAGAAAACTGAGTCTGAACCTGATTAAGCCTCTTACTTCCACTGCTAATTTACAGGAAATATGGGACACAGAGGAACACGTTAGATAAAATTCTGGCAGTGCTCAGCAATATCTAACAACTTTGGGCAATGCTGTTAGAAAAATGGCATGTTTTGTTTATCAAATCAAATGTGTGTTTGTGTGTGTGTTTATTTATGAGAGAGAAACAGACTAACTTATGAGATGTCAGGAAATGACCTAGTATGTTATGCATCAACCAATTGTAGTGTAGAACTTGATTCAAATAAATAAAATGAGATAAATATTAACGAAATCTGAACAGTGACGCTGAGTATTTGATGCTAGTAAGGAGTTACTACTTTTTTCAATGTGGCAGTGCAGTTATGGTTAACTTCAAACAAAGGAGGGGCAGCGCAGTGGGGGGAATAAACCGCAGCAGCCATAAATCGATACTTGTTGAAGATTAAATAACAGGTGCACAAATGTTTGCTTCTTATTCTTTCTACTTTTGTATATACTTTAATATTTCTATAGTAAGCTATTAGTAAAGTTGTAAGCAATTCCTTTGACTTCTTAAATATGTTGTGAGCCAAACACACTGTGTCCAAATGTCCGAAGGCTTGTCCAACAGACTGCCAGTTTGGGAAAAGGGGATCTGTCCCTTTAATTTGGGGAGCCATCCTTTTATCTGTGCCTGCTCAGCTCCTGTCCCCACTCTCTCTACGGAAGGGCCTCCTCCTTCTGGGCAAGGGGACGACTGGAGGTCAGTACGGATGGCTTGGAATAGAATTTTCTTAGAATAAGTGAGGAAGAGGGCGGTACACATAATTGCACTGAGCAGTCCTCCTAGTATTTCACGCATTTGCTTGAACCCATACCCCCTTATTCTACTCTCTGAATAAAGAGGTCAGTATCTTCATTTCAGTATTTGAAAACCTGTTCTGAAATTTCGACTAATTGCACTTTTTGTGCTATTTCTGTGCCTCTGTTTCAGGATGGAATGGGAAACCTGAGAATCACAGAAAAAGGTCTAAAGCTGGAAGGAGACTCAGAATTCTTGCAACCTCTCTACGCCAAAGAAATCCAGTCCCGACCGGTGAGTCTCTGCTAAGAGAAGGAATGATTGCCCCTCTGGAATCTGAATCAGGGGAAATCTGTCTTGCCATCCTCTGAGTTTAAAGGTGTGGGAAGAACTCCCGCTGGCAGAATCCTCCTGTCTGCCGCAGATGGTAAATAAGTCGTCCCAGGCACAGTCTTGCTGTTCTGGCAGGAAAGGGCGGGGCAATTCCTTCCAGCGGAGAGCGCCCCAAGCCCTTCTCCCAAATGACTTTTATTGGGAGTGGTGTGTGTAGGTGTACACAGCATACATGCATAGCTTATCAATCAATGTCAAAAGGCTATAGTCATACGAACACAGGTATTATCTATAGATAACAATTGAAGGAACACAGAGATCTGTCATAGTTGAGAGTCTGTTAGTCGTGCTGATGCCAGAGGGTCTTTAAGATGTGTTTCATGAGATAAGGAGTTTACTCCTTGTGCTTGAATGTAAACATCCAGTTTATATCACCAGGGCTACACCAAACAAAGCAGAGCAGGCTTCAAAGGATACAATGTATTTATCGGGGCTGATTCCCAGGGAGCCTGCGTTGTTAGAGTCAGGTGAGGTCTGCCACTGGTGTTTTCACTTGTTTTTCCAGAGGGACTTACTAGTCCCTTTCAGGCTTGTTCTTATAGGGCTACAGTCTCAGAAACCACACAGAGTGGTCCCCAACATAAAGGAGGGAGGGCATAGGGGCATAGTACAGGTAATGAGATGCATTCAGACCTGAAGTCTTGAGTGTAACTGCAGCTCCATTAAAGAATGGAGGCTCGGAAAGGAAGCGTGGGCAGAGCCACATGGTTACAGAGTAGCAGGACCAGGGTTTGCACTCAGGAATGCAACTCTGGAGCTTTTCTGTTAACCACAGTCTCCTTCCTAAGCTTTTTCTCTCGTTCCTTCTCTTTGCCATGGTAGTGATTCCTAGATACCTTGCTTTTATTAACCAATATTATCAAAATTAATTATTGTTTATGAGTGAGTTTTTGTTTCTTTAGTTTTTATTTTTGCTTTTTGGTGGGTGGTGGACTTCACTGGTTGGAGGGGGTTATTAATACATTTGTTTTGCCTGGGCCGATTTGTGTCCACCCGGAAGCAAAGAGCCACAGGAAACTTCCCAAAGTGGCATTTGCATCGTGCACGTTGATTAGGGTAGTGAATGAAATTCAGCAACTTGATGTGGTGGGTAATTTAAACTGAATACCGTCTAAACAACCGAGTTGTATTAAACTGAGTGCAGCTGCTGAATTGCCAATAAATGTATTTCCCTGTGTGCCTAGTAAAAGAGAGGAAGCCATGATGTTAACCTCATCAAAAAGCGAGAATCAGTGTATCCCCACAATGATGATAAAATCTAACCGAAACTCACAGCATCCTGGCTTGTGCCCTTAAAGTACCAAGAGTAAACGTAACCGTTGTCTTTGAGGAAGCTGTGTCCTGGAAGGAGGAATAGGTTGAAACCGTACCACGGAGGTTTGGGTGATGATTCTGCCTTGGAGTGAGTGGAGACGGTTGATTGTAAGCATTTTTGAAATCCCTGTGATATGCATTGCTCTTTGTTGATATTGTTGAGTTTTAATTTTTTTTAATATTTTTTTCTTGCCCTGGCTGGTGTAGCTTAGTGGATTGATTGCAGGCCTGCGAAACAGGATCGCGGTTGGATTCCCAGTCAGGGCACATGCCTGTGTTGCAGGCCAGTTCCCAGCAGGGGACACATGAGAGACAACCATACATTGATACTTCTCTCCCTCTCTCCTTCCCTACCTCTGAAGATAAATAAATAAAATCTTTTAAAAATAATAAATAAATATTGTTTCTTGTTATGCTATCACAGTTGTCCCTATTTTTCTCCCCTTGCCCTCCTCCACCCACCCCACCCCCACTCCCACAGTCCCCACACTGCTGTCCATGTCCATGGGTCATTCATGCATGCTCTTTAACTAGTCTCTTCCCCTTCTTTCCACCATTATTCCCCTCCCCACCCCGGTCACCGTCAGTCTGTTCCATGTTTCCATGCATGTGGTTCTGTTTTGATAATTAGCTTTGTTCATTAGCTTCCTCTTACAGGTGAGATCTATGGTGTTTTTCTTTCGCCATCTGGCTTACTTCACTTAGCCTAATATTCTCCAGTTCCATCCATGCTGTTGTAAAAGGCAGAAGTTCCTTCTTTCTGCTTCACGGTGCTCCATCATGTAAATGTACCACAGTTTTTGATCCACTCATTCAGTGATGGGCACTTAGGCTGTTTCCAGTACTTGGCTATTGTAAATTGTGCTGCTGTGAACATGGGGGTGCATAGGTTCTTTTGAATTGGTGATTGGGGATTCTTAGGATATATTCCCAGCAGCAAAATCTCTGGGTCAAAGGGCAGTTTCAGTTTTGATTTTCTGAGGAAATTTCACACTGTTTTCCACAGTGGCTACGACAGTCTGCATTCCCACCAGCAGTACAGTAGGTTTCCCTGTTCTCCGCACCCTTACCAGTATTTGTTTGTAAATTTAGTAATGATGGCCATTCTGACCAGTGTGAGGTGGTATCTCATTGTGGTTTTAATTTGCATCTCTCTGACGATCAGTGATGCTGAGCATCTTTTCATAAGTCTATGGGCCCTCTGTATGTTCTCCTTGGATAAGTGTCTATTCAGGTCTTTTGCCCATTTTTAATTGGATTGTTTGTCTTCCTGGTGTTGAGTTACATGAGTACTTTATATGTTTGGGGGATCAAACTTTTATCTGATGTGTCATTGACAAATATGTTCACCCACATAGTCAGTTTCCTTTTCATGTTGATAATGGTTTCTTTAGCCATGCAGAAGCCATTTAATTTGATGTAGGACCATTTGTTTATTTGTTCCTTTATTTCCCTAGCCCTGGGAGATATATCAGCACCACTGTTGCTACATAGGATATCCGAAATTTTACTGCCGGTGTTTTCCTCTTCATCTTTTATGGTGTCGCAACTTATATTTAAGTCGGTTATCCATTTTGGTTCATTCTGGTGTGCGGTATAAGTTGGTGGTCTAGCACTTGATCTGTCTGTGCTTCTCCCATCCTGGCAAGCTGGTTAGTGAAACCATTGGTTACAGTTACGAGTTGCACTTTAGATGAACACTTTTATCTGTATGAAACTTGTTTAACTCACTAGTTTGAACTGGCCATTTTTCTCTAATGGTGTTATCCAGAAGTAAATATTTTAGGTTTTTCTCCCCATTTTACAACTCTGTAAAAATGGGAAAAAAATCCATTGTCTCAAGAGACACAAAAGTTGGCCGCGGACTGCAGTTCACCGACCTCACTGGCCTGTGCTAGTGACGTTCCTGTGCAACTGTGTAAGTGGTCTGGCTAGCTCACAGGTGTGCACACTAGCAGATTCTAAGATCACAGGTAGAATAGTTGATATGCATTAAGTAAACGATCCTCAAATAAGTTTTCTTGGTGTAGAATTAGATTCCTATAGAGATATTAGGAAATGTGTTTTAGAAGACTTGCGAAAGCGCACCTGGTATATCTCAGACTCGTGTAGGACTTGAACTCTCAGCAGGTGTTCCAGCCAGCCCTTCAGAAAATGGAGAGTCATTTGACCGCAACTCAAGGATACTTGATTAGAAGATTAAAAAGTAACAGTAATTTCAAAAACATCCCCTTCATATTGAAAAATCTGTGAGTTAAATTCAGTGTTTTCAAATAACCATTTAAAGAAAATACAGTGTTAAAATTCACTGTTGTTCCATTTTTCTTAGGAATTTTTCATTTTGAAAATATAGTAAATAAATTCAGCTTTGTAGCCTTCTGTCTTTCTTATAACAACAAAATAAATATCTCCCAACTGAAGAAAATGCTAAATTTGTATACAGAAATTCACATACAGTGAAATCTATCAGTAAGTTACGTGAGCTCTACCTGAACACACTCTCCATTCTACACCACTCCCAGTCCAGGCCGCCGACTCTCCCCTGGTAACACCCCATCACCGGTATCGGTGTGAGAACCTCCTCCCTCTGCTGCCTGTCACTCTCAGCATCTCAATCGAAACTGCAGCAAAGCAGCCTTTGCTGCTTTCACCCCTTTGCAAAGGGCTCTTCATTGGCTTCCCGTGGCACCTGGCATGAGAGCAAAGGCTCCCACTAGAGAATTTCCATGCAAGGCTCCTTCTGTCAGCCTGGCCTCAGTCCAAGTATCGCCATTGTATAAAGACCCTCTCAATCAACCCACTGAACAGAGCAGCCACGTATAAAACTCTGCCCTGGCTTGTCCCCTGGTCATTGTCATCATTCACCATTCTTGTTTGCTTAGCAATATATTTGGAAGAGCAAGGGATTGTCTGGATTTTCCCAACTACATTCCCGAACCCTATTGCTAAGTCTTTACACATAGTATGTGCTCAGTACATATCTGTGAAATTGAGTCATGAATTATTAAAAACAAAAGTGTCCCTGAAATTTATCTTGCAGTTGCAAGCACTGCCAATAATTTATTGTACTTCTCCAGCCATCTACCATGAGTATATTTTTCAACAGAACCATACTTTGCATTCTATTCTGTACATATTTTCCTCCAAATAATATATTAACAGTAAGTTTTTACATCTATTTAAAAGTTTAAGAGTTTTTTTGAGGTATAACTGATATAGAATAAGCTGCACATATTTAAAAGCGTGCAATTTTACAGGCATCTACATACAGACATGCTTGTGACACCGCCACCAGAATTGCAGAGATGAATGCGTCACCACTAAGAGTCCCTCCACGCCTTTGCTGTGGTGCCCACCCTGTTTCTCTGACCCTGTCCCCAAGCAACCACTGCTCCGGTGTGAAGATGTTTTCTTGCATTTCCTAGAACTTCATATACATGGAATCAGGCAATTTGCTCATCTAAATAATTTTAAAAATAAACCGCATGTCATTCTATTGAGATCTTTTTTTAACCATCTATTTAATATCCAAGTTAAAGAAGAATAAGACAGTTTTTGCCACAGTCAGGCTGTGTCTTGGTTTGGCT